AGAGAGAGAGAGAGATACCATTAGGTTCCATTTAGCGGTGCATGGTAACTTTGCATAGCCAATGAGTCATTTGATCAAGATCGAGATCAAGATCAGATGGCTCAGAGTATATTTCATATTGAATTTTAGTTTTTTTTTTAATAAATAGAAGTCTTGTTGTCCTGAAGTTTTGGACTTGAATAGTTCTCATGGGGCAGACCTGTTAAAAATAAAAAGGTTATTCTAATAAAATAAAATGACTAACATACCCTGCAAGTTATAGGGGTATTTTGTTCATTTTATTTTATTGGAATTATTTTTTTAATTTTAACAGTTATGCCCAAATGAGAACTATGCCCACTAATTCACTATTGCCCAATAATTTCAGGTCAATGCGATTTCTAAACAAAATAAAAAATAAAAAAGGTATTATGCACTCCCTGCCATCTGATCAAGATTGCATGGTTGGGGACCTACCCATTATTACTATAGCAGTTAGGTGGCCATCGTCTGGTAGTTTTATCCTATATCCATATATGCAAGAAGATGAGGAGTATGATTAATTAAGAAATCAAAATGCTAGTGATTGCTAAAATAAATAAAATAATATAGTGAAATATACATCATTTTTTTGGGAGAAGAATCCAATGCATCCTGAGAAGAATCCTCTCCACATGTTCGTGTGCTTCAAGAATCCTCTCCACAGGATTCCATGGAATAGAGAATCTTGCAATGTTCATGATGTACCATATCCATTTCCACATGTGTCTGGCATATTTAAGGAACCTAGGGTGGAGAATCCATGCTCATAGATTTTTGGCAAGCTTCGTAATCATTCACCAAAAAAAACAGACACTAATTGCCAACATCCTCCATTCTGGTGAAAATACTTTTGGTTAATTGTTAATGGAACCTATACATAAAACATGGGCCTAAGTTCTTGGCTAATGCACATTTAATGCCTCATTTGCACTTATGTTAGCACATCAAATGTGCATAATCCAATGCATGTCTGACGTATTCACAGTTTTCTATATAAATCCTTTAAGGGTATGTCGTATTACACACCTTTCTCATTTGTATATCAGATCTCATGCCTTACTTTTCTCAATGAATAGGAATTAGTTTTTAATAATGTCCAGATTAACAACCATTACCGTACTGACTTTGCATTGGGTCTCATTCTAGTTGCTGTAATTCCAATAGTGTTGTTCCACTCCCTTTATGCAATAAGACCAAACTATAAAAAATGTAGGAATATCTCTAGATCTAGGACTATCCTTGTTTGTTGCATATATAATGTGTATTAGTTTCATGCGTTGCCTCTCTTTTCGTATCTGTTATAATTCTTTCCGCAGTTTAATTTTTTGTGTGGTGCTCTGGTGTCAGATCATATATACGACTTCACAGTTCTCCTAACAATTGAAGTTAGTGCTGGAACTCTGAGTGCTATCCTGCAAGGGGATTTTGTTGATACAACTGAGATAAAACCAGAAAAAGCATTTCACTGGCAACCACTTTACTCTGTAGTTATTATTGGAAATAGTTTTGTTGTTGAAGGAAAAGGAATCAGATTTCGTGGGAAATTGAAGGAGTGCAATATTGCCTTGCGACAGTTAATTTATAAAGTAAGTCAAACTCTGCGTTTTAATGATTATATATTTATATGGATGCTTTATCTTGGACTTGTACAGTTTTTTGTGTCTGTAATGCTTTAAAACCCAGAGATTTGGACTAGAATCACCCGGTCCAATCGGGATTAGTGGGTTGGTGATCCGGGTCTATGATGCCTGGAATCACATGATTTCCTCCTTTCTCTTAGTTTTTAATTGTTTTATTATTAGTTTGATCGATTCCCACAGATCCAGATTGCCAATCCACTTTATCCGGACCGGTACAATCGGTGGCCAGCTCAATCGGCCATTCTGGTTTTTAACACAATGCTTGTGTGTCTATAGTCTGAGTTTTACCTGTTATTTTCAACTCTTCATTCCATTTTGTGTATTTGGGGATAATGTGACTCATGGTTCCATTAAATTTTTCCTGGAGTTGTGCCAAATTTTTTGAAATCTTGCAAAGTCATCCAATTCAAACTCTGTTATTATTAGAATGGTTGGTGGTTTCATACGGAAGGACCAAATTTCTTGTTTCTAAACAAAACAATGAAAGTAACGTATGTATGCCAACTACAAATTATGACGCCATTAATTTGCATAATGTTGACTTATGGAGTTCCATTTGTAATAAATAATTTTTTCTTTGCCACCACCAATAAGATGATTTCACCTTCAAATTTCCCTCAGGCCTCAGGTTTACTTTATTTAGACCTATCAAATTGAGTTATATGCTCTTAAGTATCAATATTTCTTTGATAATCAAGCACATTAAGGCCCAGTTTGGGTCGAGTACTAAACATGACTACAACTATTTTTTGAGCACACCAGGGCAGGAACTGTTCTACAACTTGTTTGGCCACTTTTGAAACCTGTTTCTTTGAAATACTGTAAATAAGCTACAAAAGTTAAAGTCATTTAACTCCGAACAGAATACAGTTGTTTTGCTTTCAGTCATGTTTAATGTTTGTCAATTGTATACCTACTTGCCTTAAGGTCATGAATTTAGAAAATCTGAAATCAGAGTGGGTTTAGTGAATCAGAGTGGGTTCAGTGACTATAGGTTATGGTCTAACTGAATTAATTATTCCTGTTCAGGGTCCATCACATGATGCCATTCTAACCATAGACTTGAATGACATGGGTAATTATGGATGCTATCCGGATTGTTCATTAAAGATCACAGTGCCACTTTCCACAAAGGCTACTATAGATCTTTGTGATAGGAAACCCATGACTCCACTCTTAGCTTTCTGTAAGTGTTATATTCTTCTAGTCTCAGAATGTGATTGTGATGTATATTATAGTCCAGTGGGCTAAACACCATGGTCCATTGAGGTCGTCAAGGACGGTTAGGGAAGAAAGTGGGACCTGCTCTCCATCATGTCTTGTACTGGTGAGTCACCCTCCCGCCCCCCCCATCCCATCTTTCTACCAAAAAAACTCCGAAAACCCCTCTCTCTCTCTCTCTCTCTTTTTCAGATCAACATCCATCATTTCATTAAACAATGATAACCCCAGAGGACCAAGTGTACCACAAGTCCATTGGATTATACTTCGCTATTATCTTCTACTGCCTTGACTTACTGTTTTTATGCCTTGCTGCTCTCCTCTCATGCTCTGTTAGAGCATCATGTGTGGAACTTCTACTAAACTTAGTTTATGGCACAGTTTTAGGAGCTGCAATAATAATTGGATTTATCATGACCTTTATCCTCGGGCTCGTGCTCCTCTTCTTCAGCTGCAAATGTGCTTTTGCACTTCAGAAGAATCGTGGAAATTCATGCAATTTAAGTAAAGTGGAACTTGCAACAACCGAAGCTGTAAATGAAATGGTGGTACTGATGTTATCAACTTTTCCTCAAAATTCACTTGCATAACTTAAAAAAAAAAACCTGCAAGATATTAGTGGCATCATATTATTCTGACCATATGTTGTATCTACATTCCTTAAGGCGGATGATATACTAGAATTCAGTGAACTTTGGGAAGCCACAGTTCATAGGAGTCATCATTGTCCAATAAAGTGATCAATAGTTTGATGGAGAGTGGGACCCACCAGAGCAGTGCATGACCTCTCTCTCTCTCTCTCTCTCTCTCTCCACGCCATCCATAGTTTTTTTAGAGGGTGATAACCCAGTGGTCACTGGTTTTTAGTATACTTCCCCTTTTCATTTGACTCACCTTGTCATTTTCATGGATTTTCAGTGAGGCCTAAAAAGAGTGAACTTTTTGATTGTTTATTGCCAAGAGGTTAATAGCCATTCCTTGTGCTTGGAAATAGCTTGATATAGGTACCACTGATTCTTGCATCCTTTTCTTATTTATTTCGATTATAAACCTTATATGTGCAGTTGAGTGCAACATCATCAGACAACGTGACATACTTCACTGGCTGTTCAAGCCCCTTCTTACTCAGGAGACACCATGGTAACTTTCACCAGCGGTAAGGGTTTGAGTTCAATGGAATTGCCTCCTTTGTATTCCTTTTTTCTCTTCTTCTACAATGAGATTGACCCCACCCCCTTGGCGCAATAAAATAAAAGAAAAAGAATTTTCCTAATTTTTTTTTCATTTCTTGAAGCCGACAAATTTCATTTGGATTTATTCAGTTGGTAGGGAAGGAAAGGGTTTTAGCCCTTGAGCCCTTCTCACCCAAACCAAATGCCTCCAACTAAGCTGAAGCCTGAGGGACTGCTTGAGAGTATTTATCTATTTCAGTTGATTTGGTCATAAATTTTAATGGGATTTCCTCCTATATCTCGTTATTTTTGGTGCTTTTATGGATTGAGCTTTATGTAATAGAAAATAAAATGGATTAGAACTGGACAATGCGTAATATTTCCGCACCATTGTGTTTTTCCCTCTCTTTTGACTATTATTGAGTTTATCTTTTTGACCTGCTTAATTTTTGGCTGTGTAGGGAATCAGGCAGCAAAGAGTATCTCTCAAACACATAGTGTATGACTGATCAAAGTGATCTAAGCGCTTTTGTGTGTGTACTTAGTCATATGACCCTGACTCTTACAATGGGAGATGTACAGAAAATCAAGTATTAAGCTTGCAACTTAGATACATAATGTATATGATGCAAGGTGCCTTGCAATATGTTTGTTTATGTAGATTGAAGGTAACCATGCCTACATCAAATTTAGTGGCTATCATTTAGAGGCACTTAAGGCAATGTTCACTGACATAGAGCTTAATTGTGGTCCTGCACTGTCCTCCCCCACTCCCCTCCCGAAAAAAAAAAAAGCACAGGAAGCACCTAGTTAGTGAACCTTTTTTTTACATGAAAGTTTGCAGTATTTGGTTCACCTTATGAGCAATTCTTTTTCTTTCTGGGAGTTAAATGGTAGGAATTGAAATGGGATGTTAGTGTTGCAATTGAGGACAACTTAGGCAGAATTTGGCTTCCCAGTAGCCACAGAGAGCATTTTTTTGATCACATGCCTTTGTGTACTATCATAAACACAGAAACTCTCAATTGGTGATATATACCTGGAAAAATATCCTGTTGTTGATAGTGGCAATAGATCTCATTTTTCTTTTGCAGCTATCAGAAAAACAATAATGAGATTCCATACGTAAATTTGCATATGTGAATAGTGGTTTAACAAACTGGCTAGCCACCTGTTAAAGGTACAACTTTAAGGGAATTCTCTTATGGGGAGCCAAAAATATGGTCTAGACATGGCTTAAGCAAAAGGACGAACAAGATCTCTTAATGGCTTTATTTCATCTCAGAATCATATTGTCTATTTGATAATCTCATTAATTATGTGCGATGCACATGCTGTCGCTATCAGTTCCTTTAGGTAAGTTTGCTTATGGAAAAGAGATACCATATACTATAGCGCACCGCTAGAAGTACCTATGGGTATTTTGGTTTATGGAAATGGGGATGCCATACAATATAGAGGCGGCTTTTGAAATAAATAACTTGGGTATTCCACTACCTTAAAAGCAAACACAACTGTAAAATTTATTTAGCGCTTATCTTGAATACCAGAAAAACAGTGGATTTTGCGTTTGAAGTGCCAAAACCACTTTTAAAACAGAAACATGGTTTAACAATTGATATAATGTACCACTCCTTTTCTTGAACGTTGTGTTTCGCTCAACCCGCAGCTCCAAATTTCAGATGCATAATCAATTGTACAATACTCGATTTGTATACGTAATAATTATTCACACCTAATAGTTTAAATTTACAAGTAGAGAGTACCCGTCTGAAGTGTAAGGCAAATGAGTAGAGGGAGAGAGGATTAGAGAGAGCGAGAGAGGAGGAAAGAGTAGATGAATTTCTTTTATGGTGAACTTGTAATCATTGAGAATTTCTTTTTTGGGGAATTTGTAATTTTTGAGAATTTTTCTTTTGGTGAACTTGTAATTGTTAATGCTTGGAAAAAAGGTGATGACGCCAAAAATGCCGGACATTGAAAGGGAGTGTCATTAGATGGTAAATTGCAAAAAGTAAGGGCTCTTCCAGAACAATTGGGAATATTTTTTATTTCTCGATATATCTCCATGGTCATGGAACCTTAATTTAAAAAAAGATGGAAGGAGACTATTTTCAATGTTCGACTTTCTTTCTTGGCATATCCGAGAAGTGGGTCTCAATATGGGGAGATATGGGATTCTCACTCTTAAAAACATTTTAAAGATAATACTAATTAATACATAATATTTTTTTAAAAATATTAATTAGAGAAAAAAAAAAGTGGTACATGTCAGGCCCCATGGCTATACACATGTACCACCAGTTGGGATGAAAATTCAAAAAGTCGGATTTAGAGCATACGTTTTCCAAGTTTTAATAAAAAGCATATGAGAAATCTTATATATTCAACCGTGTTATAGAATAAATTTATTTTAAATTTTTTGAACGCCCAAGCCTTTTTATTTTGTCACTTTCATTTTTCTCGAAATACCCCTTGGTTCGACACTTACTTCAGGAATGGATTTTGCGTTTGAAGTGCCAAAACCATTTTTAAAACCGAAACATGTTTTAACAATTGAAATAATGTATGGTAAATAGAAATGGATGTGCGTATGTATTTACGACATTGAGGGAATGCCAAGAATGTGAACTAAAAAAATTGACATCTGACATGTCCGTACAATATGTAAGTATCAATATATATATGCGTGTGGAAATTTATGCATAATTCATATCATAAAAAAAATTAAATTAATAGTGCAAAAAATATTATTTTGCCGATTAGAATTTTATTTATAAAAAATTTCTCATCACACCACTTGCACATCATTAGAAAATAAAAGTATTTTTATAATTCTAAACAACTCTTATTATGCTAAAATCCTTTTTAATTTAAAAATAAATATTATTCATTAAAGATGTTGTTTCTAAATTAAGAGGTACCAAATTCCAAGATTGAAATGTGTCCCAAAAAGGGCCACCCGTTTAGATACTTCGTAGATGTGTAGTATGCATTTCTATAAGTATTGACCGTATGACATGTGTGCACATATATCAATGTTCTTGCTAGATCATATATACACTTGCTCGCTCAGGTAAAAGAGCGGCTTAGGACGATTTGACTTGAAATTTTTGGATATACCTAAAATTCATGTGATAATTATTTTAAATAAAAGAATATGGAATTTGAATTTTTAAATACTTAGATTTGATCATCCAAAAATTGGACAGTCTCTGGACAATCTTAGAAAATTATTATTTTGGGTACATATGAATAGTAAAAAAGAAGAAGAAAAACTGAGGTTGGTCACCAAGTTGAGTTAGTTGAAGCGGAAGGCTAAAAAAAGGTAAAAGGAGGGCCCAAAAGGACATGGTTAGAAGTTATGAAAAAATATATAGAGACTTATGGCCTCATTAAGGGTATGGCCCTTAATAGAATAAAATGACCGATCAAGATTCATGTAGCCAACCCCAATTAATTGGAAAAAATATTCTGGCGATGAAAATGATGATGACAATAAATTTATCGAGGTGCTTAGGATACAGTGAAGTTCATCTTAATCAGGGGAAAATATTAACTTAATGTGTTATTTCTCATATGCCATCACAATTGTACTTATACACCTTGGCAAAACAATTACCTCTTTCCTCTTTAGCATAAGAATTGCCTCTCTCCTGTTTAGTGAAGGGATTGCTTTCAAAATTTCCAACCCTTAGATTTTGCTTCCCATCTATTTCTTTTTTTTTATTCTAAAAAATGAAACATCTGCCTGGCGACTTGTATCTTTAATTGCACTATAAGGTGCCCTATGGAAATAAATGTCGCTGGTTTCATAAGTAGGACTTTATCATGAACATGGTCATCAAATAATATGTCACTAGACAATGTTTTTTATGAAAGGTGTTGTATGCTCTTGGGGACGCATTTTTATATTTGCGCCCGAGGCATAAAACATCCATTTTAAAGATGGCTGCATGCACGTGGTCCCTCTAAAAAAACGTTAGAAACAATGGTCTACGTATATTTTCATGAAATTATGATTTTTAATTTTTAAACTTTATTTATTGAAAGGAGAGCATTTACTTTTTCCACAAGAAGGTCATCATTATTCTTGTCCATTAGATTTTGAAATGGGTGGTTGTTACTTGTAAGCAATAACACAAAGTTCTATGAAAATTTTTCGAACTTCGTAACTCACACCAAGCCATCTAATTTGACATCTAATGAGTATGAATAGTTGTGACCTCCTTATATAGAAGGTAAATAGCCTCTTTGTAGACAATCTTTTTATGAGAAAGGAGAAGATAGAAAGGTTCCATGTTGAAACATTTTTTGGGTTAGTGGAGTACCACTCTTTCTTTTCTTTAACATATTGTTTTTCTCAACCACCAGCTCCCAATTTCAAATGCATAATCAATTGCACATTACTACTCGTTTTGTATATATAATAACATTATTCACACCTACTAGAATAAACATTCAAGTAGAGATTGCTAGTCTGAAGTCTAAGACAAGAGAGAGAGAGAGAGAGAGAAGAATTTCTTTTCTGGTGAATTTGTAATCGTTGAGAATTCCGTTTTTGGTGAACTTCTAATCGTTGAGACGAAAGTTCGGAAAGTCGACTTAATCCGTACTTTTTCCAATTTTTAATAAAAAGCATTGGAAATTACTTATATATCCAACCGTGCTAAAGAATAGATTTATTATTATTATTTTTTGCACGCTCGTATTTGTTTTGAACCAAAATTCCTTAGGATAATTAGAAAGATTTTTAGGATAACTAAAACTGGTTTTTAGAGTTTTCAGAATTATGGTTGACGTACTTCTATTTAAACCCCTTTTGAAGTACCAAATTAAAAAGAGAAATACCTAAAAAAAATCCGAAAGTCCCCAAAAATCAGAAAAAATACCTAAAAATCCCATAGGCTGGAAAAGACCTCTAAAACCCTAATGTCAGAGATCTAGGAAACCCTGGCCCAAGGTGCAAGCCTTTCTATCGAAATTTTCATTGATAAATCCAATCTTCTCTATCCAGATTTTCACTGATAAACCCAAGCCCTAGGGAAGTAGACCAAATTTTCATTGATATACCCCAGCCTCACTATCCAAATTTTAATTGATAAACCCAAGCCCTAGGGAACTAGACCAAATTTTCATTGATATACCCCAGCCTCACTATTCAAATTTTAATTGATAAACCCAAGTCCTAGGGAACTAGACCTAGGCATCTTCAAGAAGAAAAGTGGAGGAGAATGGTGTAAACAACCCGCGTTCCCGGGCACCAACTCTGGGTCTTCGGGTGTCCCGGGCAGGTCGGTCAGGCTAGGTAAGTCCTTTTATTCTTTATTTTTTTAGAATAATTTAATTAAACTTGTTGTTCAATTGATTTAATTAGTTTATTTTTAGTTTTAGGGTTTTCTAGTAGGATTTTCGTGATCTTGAGCCGGACTTCCAGCGGTTCTTAAAGAACCCTCATCTCCCCAGATCTGGTTTCTTTTTTAATCATAAGTAGACGGATCCCAATCATCTCTACCTATCTTTATTTTTAACTCGTTGAAAGCATAAATTCAGTGACGTTCATCAGATCTGGTTTGTATTGAGTCGAGGCTCTAAACAATCAATGTAAAGAGCACATTCAAATAGTATTGAGAAAAATGGCTTCTATGCTGGAAATCTTTGTGATCGCTTAAAAATATATTTTCATATCTAATTATAAAATTTAAAGTATAAAAAAATGTAGATCGAACAAATCTATAAAAACGTGAAAATATTGAAAAGTGACTATCCAAAAATGCATCACAAAATGTACTACTTCCAAAACTTAAAATCCCTTTTTTCCTCTTGTCCATGATTCTTGATGTCGAGATGATTAATTTGAGGATATTTGAGCATCAAAACAACATCTTCTAATGAGATTTTCGTGGTGCGCTTTAATTTGATTATTTAGAGCCTTAGCTCTATATAAACGTTTTTCATAAGAAAAAGTATACGTAAAGACTATTTATATTTTATGCGAGGTCACAATCACTTTTATCCCTTGGATTTCAAATTAGGTGGTTGTAAGAGTGTTATTGAAAATACTCAAAGTTCAAAAAACAAAAAAATTATTAGACTTTGTGACTAAGCCAAACCATCCAATTTGACATCTAATGGGTAGGAGGGATTGTTACGTCTTTGTAATAAGGATAACTTGTCTCATTGTATACAATCCCATTAAATAATGAAAACGTTTATACAGGTGTGAGGCTCTAAACAATCAAATTAGGACGCACCTCAAAATTTTCACTAGAAGAGGTTGTTTTGATGCCCAAATATCTTCAAATTAATCTTCTCGATAGACATGAGGAAAAAAATTGGATTTCAATTTTCAAAATAGTGCATCTTGTAATGCAATTTTGGACTGTCAAGTTTCAAGATTTTCAAGTTTTCATAGATCTATTTGATCTACATTATTTTTTATGCTTTAGAATTTAATAATTAGAGGTGAAAATATATTTTAAGGCTATCACAAAGATTTCCAATATTGATACCACATTTAAAAATACTATCTGTAGGTGCGCTTTACTTTGATTGTTTAGAGCTTCGGCTTTATACGAACTGCACCCTAAAATAATATTACATTTAGTATATTAATTTCAATTAATTTCAAATAAGATAGTTTGTCCACGATAAAATTATTTGAAATCCAAACAAGCCCTAAATGCATCTAGTTTGATATGGTACCACAACTCACGCTGATAATTCAATGATTTTTAAGTGCATTTTTAATCATCTACTTTGAGAGAGAGAGAGAGAGAGAGAGAGAGAGAGGA